TTTTTTTTGTCTTACCGGTAATAATGCAGTTTTGGAGGGCATTGCATGCCGGGTAGTTTGAAAAAGTCAGTACTGTTAAGATTAGCGCGGACAGTCTGAATGGAACCAAAAGCCATAGAAGTAAAAACTCATTTTTATTTTGAGATACAGCATGATTATTTCATGTATCTCATCCCTGTACTTCAGATTTATAGATAGAAATGGTGAAATGGTCCATCATCGAATACTGCGGTTTAACCGAAAACTCATCATGCGGCTACTGCAAGAATGCTGGACATAAAGCGTCGTTAGGTACGGAGAGTGGAATAGTGGACCCGGATGAGGGTGACTCGGTGTCGTTTGGTAGGTGGTGATGAGTGAAATGGGCGAATGTTGTTAACCCAGAACTAACATTTTCTAAGTGGACGACTCAGCAGGAGTTCACTAGCATTTTCTTCTCAAAGAATGTTGTTTTACAGGATGTTTTGCTCATATAATGGATTCAGAGAATTTTATGCGATTACTCGAATACGGGTGGAGCGGGTAGGTGGCGTGCAATTGGTGATCACATAGTTTTAGCGCTTTCCAAGCTAGTTTTGTTTGGTAGCTGTGTTGATATTGAGCTGTGAGCCCAGGATAAAAACTTGCTTTTATTTTTTCAAACCAAAAGTCACATAAGGTGAAGTAGCCTTGTTGTTTTCTTCGTTAAAAAATGGCCGTTAGCGCTGCTTTTTGCGTTTCTGTGAGTCGTAAATCAGGACGACCACATCCCTACACCTTCGCTCATAATTCTCTCTCTATATTCATTATTAAAGTGGGCTTGGAAAGGAGGATTTTTGTTTGTTGTGATCTTATTTCCTCTCTTTCGAGAAATCTAAGCCTAGCTAACCACTGGGTAATTTCTTTGGTAACTTTACGCATATGAATCCTGCTCCACCCGTTTTCGAGGTCCACTGTAGCATGGACAATCTATTCCGATCACCCAATCTTTATCTTATAAAAGTTTTGCAGGTGTCTGGGCTCACAGTCTCAGTTGTGACAACTACCAAGCTTTACTAGACAAAGGATGGCGAAGGTTACTTTCGTGAAAATGAATAACGTAACTTTTTTATGCACCATAGTGAATAGTTTACTTCAGGTCCGGCAAATACATCTATAAACCAACAATGGAAAAAACATGTTGCCCGCAATATACAATCAGGTATAGGCAATCTTCAAGTGTTTCGACAATGTTTCAAAGTTTCCAGACTAGATTCGACAAAATTTGTTCTTTCAAAAAGTCAGCGAAAGGTGTTACGCCATATGAATGAGTTTCTGAAAAATGATGTGAAGCCCAAAGTTAGTGTCCGAGAAGAAGCGCCAATGGAAGCACATGTAAGCTAGTTAAAAAAGCACTTGTGGTCACTTTTTGGATACAAATTACAGCCAGCTTCGTCAAGTAGTATTTCTGAGAAGAAGCCACAGGAAAAAGGCGACGTTCCATCCAAAAGGGACAAATCAGAAAATCCTGTACAGAAGAAGAAAGAAATGAGAAGACAGCGATGTTTTGAAAGATGGAAAGCCAAGGGATTGAATGTGGAGGAAATGAAAAAAGCGCGGACGGAAAAGGTGCGTTTCAAGAATTTCATGTCGTTGTGTCCCAGAGGTAGCTAATCTATTCTTCTAAAGGAGCAAGCTCGGCGAAGGACCGTAGAGTCGTATATTTTGGAACCAGATGAAAAGTGGAAGCATAAATTGGAGGTATGTCATTAATTGTGCTAAAACTGACAAAATTTGGTGCATTTTTTTGGAGATTTTTTTTTCAAAAATCTGGTACATATGCTATCTTGAGATTTTTTTCTGCTCTTATCTTACGTGACTCTGTCGATGGTCAACTGACGTAGCAAATCAGTTAACTGTAGCAGAGTCTATAGAAGTTCCATTCTGACTCACATCCTGGATTTGGAACTCCTACGATGGCATGCAGGAATGGAACATCTAGCAAGCTTTTATTATTTGTCAGCTACTTTATAGTGTCAATGCTTTGCGATAAAAAGCTTCGCTCTGTCATTTTCTTGAGAATCCGCCAGCATTCATTCAAACAATTTTATAGCTTACTAACTAGCATACCCGGCTCCGCCCGGTCCATTCAAAACACTATGAT